TCACCTGCTTTAGGTTTGAGGATGGTGAGGGACATACTGGCTGCAGGACCGAGGATCAGGTGAGTATATCTTCTGTATTCTGACTCCTAGATCAAAACAAGCAGGTATCCCTCGCAGTGCTGGGGTAGACCCACTGCAAGGGATAACTTTTTAAATAAGTGCAGTTTCTCTATAAGCTGAATATATAATTGGGCCTAAAAAAAAAAAATTCCATTCCAAAGAAATTCCATTTTTAGTTGCTGGTTTACCAAAAGAAAACAGAATGTTTAATTATGGAATCAAAGAAACACTGTTTTTTTTACACCTGCTTCCCGCTGACGGCGAAATATAAAAAACAAGAAACAGCAGTGTGAAAGCTGCAGCATGCTGTAGTTTTTAAACAGAAAAAAAAGTGTAAGAGAATTGTTTCATGTAGAAACTGGGAAAATAAAAGGAGCCGTTATGCATTGCGGTAGCTGTAAAAATAGATTCTACACATTTTACAGATGACGCAAGAGAGAACAAGTTACTGCGTGTAATTTCTGTATAGCACTATCATTATTTGCATTGCTTATTAAGAGCTTCTTTTATGAGAACACATTAATGTCGAGTGTAAAATGAGCCTGCTGAAATGTACCCGTTGATATGATTTAAATGAAGCCAGGCAAGGACAGTGCCATTCAAGTTCAATCATCAGTAACATTATAAAATATATATTTACGCTGTGCTTCAGACAGCCAGCAGCAAGAAAGAAAATAACTGATTACATCCATCTTGTTGATTTAAATCAAGCCAGCTGCAGGACAAGGTTCCAAGCTCAGGCTTGAGTAAAGGGCCAAAAGGGATACCAACTGGTCCTTTTTAGCAAGGACATCCTGTATTATCAGTATATTATGACTACCATTCTATGATTTGCTTAATTCCAAACCAGCGACACATTTGGATGAACTTGCCTGGCCGACTCAGTAGTATCTGCCGGTCATGTGTAGGCTTTCCTATCTGTTTACTGCTAGACTGCCATACAGGCCATTTTTCCACTACTCCCAGCTCATCACCAGCAGATTCTGGGACCAATTCACTAAGCCGCAGGAGTCATTTTAACTGCATTTCCTATTTTATCTCAAGGCTGTTAGAACTTCTTGCACAGCCTCACAGAGAAACACAAGCACACAGTCTGATATGCATGCTGCACATGGCATGGAAACAGGAAGCATGCCACAGCTTTATTCTCTACCTTTTTCAATACAACAGAGTATCTACCATAGATAAATAACAGAACTTATAAACACTGCCATCTAGTGACTGAAATTGTATACCGCAGAAGTTGTTGCTAAAAACACGGAAATATGTATTCTAACAAAGGCAATTTCCCTTGAACCTGAAAAGACACAAATTAACGCAGCTCTATAATCATTACTGCATCATTCAATGTATTTTTTAAAGTGATATTAAGGTCTCCTCTTTTTCAGCTATTTACATTGAGTCTTATCAGACTTACTTGCTGTCCCTCCTCTCCTCTCCCTGCCTGCAAATTTTTCCTTTTCTTTATTTTAATATGTAACTGCATCAATGGTGCTGACGTCAGCCCCGAGGGTGGCTTATTTTTCTCACTGTGTCCTAAGGAGCCACCTTGTACTGCGCACTCCCGGGCTGTGGACTACATCCCAGTGTGATAAAGCTGCCTGTGCCCCCACACACAGGCATTCCGATATGTAAAAATTGTATAAAGATCCACCTTTGCCTTCTCCTCCCCATTGACAGTGTCCACACATCAGCGTTGAGGTATTGCAATGCATGATGGGACATGTAGTCCCAATTACTAAGGACAGAAGGGCGCTCCCTGGCTGGAGGTTCTTCCAAACAGCAAGAAGGAGAGACAAGGATGTGGCTGTAAAGTGGTAACTGTGTCTGCATGTATACCTTTACGGGAGAAGAATATTTAATGGATTAGGCCACATTTGTCACCAGCAACTAGATTATGTGAAAAACAGCGAGGCTTTAGTACTACTTTAAATGCAAGCAGTATGCGTTCCTAAATTTGATCTGGTGTAAGCATCTTCCAGTCCCTGAACAGCAAGGCTTTAGTGTGAGATGTGAAGTAGTACAAGTAGCCAATCAGTTTATGTGCTGACATGAAATATGCTGATAGGAAGAAAAAGCAGAGTGATAGAGAGATGAGCTTATTACTGGGCTGCTTCTCCTTTCAGTGTCCAGTCACGGGCTGGGGTGGGTCCAAGATGACCTGGGCTCCCCCCTCAGTCCTGCGCCCGGGGCAAGTGACCCCCCCGCACCCCCGGTTGTTACGCCACTGCCTGGGCTCAGAGGACGAACTGACTGGGTTAAATGGGGCTGGCTATCATGCTGAGGACATCTGGTGGCAGAAAAAACTACTTCAGTGGGAAATCTCTAGATTGAAGATAAATATATTGAAGAAAAAGCTGTTTTTGATATTTTACCATTTAATGGAATATTCATTTCTGCTTTAAAATGTTCAATCTACATTCAGAGTGCTGCATAGGTGTCCTTCATATCCTGCATATTCAGGTTTACATTGCCATTAAATATCACAAAGTTTATTAAACAACATCAATATAAAAAAAAACACATCAAACAAATGTAGCAGGTCTTTGACGGCACCCCTAAATTCACACTCAGTTGGTCTCCCGTGCCAACCACCAGCAACTTTTTTCTCAGATTTGTGGGTACAATACAAGAGCAATATTGAAAACCACACTGTAACTATGAGGGTCCTGCCGTCTTATGCTCCCTGGAAACTAATATATTATGTGACCATTGCATTTAGCAACTTGTCACCAATTAGGCACCTTTCACCCATCAGCACATTAAAAGAGAACTATGGGGTAACCGTTTTTTCCCATAGTTCTCTTTAGGGTCACGGGAGGTTGCAGCCAGGACGGGCTCCGTCAATACTGAGTGACAGTTGCCTTTGCCTATCTTAAGGCAGAGCAAGCTGTTCCCTGCCCCTCCACGCGGCGGTATTTTTGTCGCTCACTTCCCGATCAATAGAGCCGACATGTGACAGTTTCAATGGCTCTAATTATGGGGATAAGTGTCATTTACTCACCTCATAGTTCTCCTTCAAGTAGTCTTTGGCACGACTAATGATCAATTAACCAGCACCTAAACCAGCACAAACACACCTGCCCTGTCTATACCCCCTCCAATGGTCTGCCATCATCCTATTTATCTACAACCCTTTCTGAGATCACTTTCTAGGATTTTCATTTTCACAACCCCCCCACCATTTTCATTCTTCCAGCCCACCTACTCATGTGCCTTTCGCTCAGCTGCTCGGAGCAATCCGTTGAACTGTTGTAAGCACATATTTCTTATGATTTAACATTTCCTGTAAGTCTTCTCTTTCTGCTTTGTTTAGTAGAAAACTCATAGAATCCACAGTTACCATCAATCAGAAGGCGGCAATATGGCTGCCTGTGCTTTCATTTTAGCCAAAGCTTTTGGATAGAAGTGGGTCTAGTTAGACTCATGCCAGTTTTTTTTATTTTTTTATTGCTGTGTCCCACTGGAAAGATTTCTCTTTACTTCCAATCCCCAAAATGCAAAATGAATCTGTTCAAAGTTAGGGGAAATCCTTAAAGCAGAAAATAAACTAATAGAGATTCTAACCCCCGCATTGCTTTATCCAAAAGCAAAAAAAAAAGGTACCTTTTAATACACTTTAAAGGCACCTGTACAAATGCCACTGGTTAGTTTTTGGAAAGTTTGCATCTGCTTTAAAGTGATATTAAAGGCAAACATTGTTTATGTTATTTCAAAAGCTGATGAAATCGCTTACAATGGATGCTGCTCCTCGATGTTTAAAGGTTTTAGCTTCCTGCAGAATCAGCTGGTCCCCTGAGCACTATTCCTGATGTACGGTTTTAGGGCCTGCTCATACCAGATGCAGTGCGTTCCGGCCCAATTCTTGCCAGAACACATTGCTTTGCATTACGGCCAGCTCACTTTTTTGTGGGGCAGGAGGGGGCGTGGCGGGCCACTAAAGTGAATGGCACTGTAGCCATGCCTCATTGCCGCCTCTGGCCGCAATGCGATCGGCCTCACAGGATCGCAAGGCACATTATGCCTGCAGTCCGGTCCGATCAAAATGCTGCAAGCACTATTTTGATCGCACCGGACCAGATCGGACCGCAGGCATAATGTGCCATTCACAATGGCCCTCAACACCCCCTCCTGCCCCACAAAAAAGGGAGCCGGTTGCAATGCGAGGCAGTGCGTTCTGGCCTGAATCGGGCTGGAACGCACTGCATCTGGTGTGAACGGGCCCTTAGGGTGACTCCTTTCCCTTGCAGGGTCCTATGGAGCCACCCTTGTGTGTGCTAGTAACAAACACACAGATACTGCAAGGCAACACACTTCCCTGCTACCCATTCCATCCTCCTCCCTTTTCCAAGCTAGTACATGGACAGCTGCTGGAGACTGCTTTGTCCCTTGTGATCATGTACTGGACAGAAAGTTCAGGGAAGCCGAGCTGACAGAGTTGAAGCTAACTCTACATGATGACTGTAAGTGCTTGGGCACAAATTTAAAGAAAATACTTTGTTGGGTATTGTATATTTATTTGATCTGGATTCATTATTGAAAACATTTGAGAGTTTAATACTACTTTAAACTGTACACAAGTAAGACTGATTCTAACATTAATTATTCTGTGATTTAAAAGGTTGTATGGATTGTACGCAGTTTATAAACCCATAATATGCTTCAAGAGCATAGTCTTAAGTACCACCTGTATGCATGTTCTCATGTTGTAGCAGATAATTATTCTGCTTTCTCCCGGCGCCCCGTACTCATGTGATTGCCTTATGTTCCTGAACAGTTTATTAAAGGAGCAGAGTGAGGCAGGGTTTTTCAAAAAGCCCTTTTCCTTTTTTTCCCTGGCTTCTGTGGCTAATTAAAGAGACGGTTGCTAAGAGATGATCAGAAGCATCACTGTGAGACTCTAATGCACTTTCTTTTTTTGCCCTACCTTTAACATCTAGGTTGTGGACCAGAGTTTGAGGATCCGCTAATCTGTACACTTGGTAATGGCTGCTCTTGAGAATTCTTCAACACTTCATGGGAAACACAGACGATTGGGAAGACAAACCCAAAAAGACAGCCTAAAATGGGAGCAGGGACAACAGACTATGCTGGGGAAAGCAAATGAGTTTTTTCAGATCTGTGATATCGAGGACAAAGGCTTCATTGCGCGATGTGATATGCAGGTAAAACCAACATTCTTTTATTATAGAAAATTGCGCCATTATGTTGCATAAGTTTGCAGAAACTTTTATTTAAAATTAAAAATGGTATCAAACTAGACTTGGAAGACCCAAAAAAATATTTTTACAGCCCAAAAGCTGTAATATATCATTTTTTGGAGGATAATTTTCCATGTGCTTTAGCATGATTTTTTTTCATTGATAGGGCAATAAAGCAAAATTGTCAACATGAGTTTTAATACAGAAACTAGTAAACAAAATTATGGCCTATTTAATTTTAGTTTTTTTGTTTTTTTGGGGGTGTTTTTCTTGTCCTTATCTCAATGTTGACTATTACAAGGTTGAACTGTTGCTTCATATCCATTTTTCAACCTGTTGACCAGCTCTAAGCTGTATTCCTTCCTTAAGCTCAAAATGTTTTAGTACTATACAGCATGGCAATATTAATAATTTCATACATTACAAGATTAAATATAAAATTAGGATAAAATGCCCAACTGATGACCCATCAGGAAACTTTGAGTGTCTTGAAATAATTTTTTGCTTGCTCTTGTATCCTTCAAATAACTTGCGTCTTGAAAAAAATGGCTGAGAAAGAATATAGAATACAATACTAATCTACAGTTAAATATTGTCATAGAGAATATATAAAAGAAGTAGTTGTAATACAAAAGAACATTAAGTATATGTGCACTATTGTTATTCATTAAAGGAAGCTACAGAGCATAATATTGATTTACTGGAATTTCCAGAGGAAGAACATCATATTGTAGTGAAGAGACCTCTTCATGACTGTCGCTGATAACCTATGCGGTACATGACAAACTGCTTTTTGTTTCACAATCAATGGACACATGAGGCTATTGTATGTTATTATATGCAGTGTTTTAATGTAATCTTAGGATACTGGGCCATGTTAATGGGAGATTTTTTTTAATGATTTAAAAAGTCTAGTTTTTCATAAATGTAGATTTTGTTATTTAACATTTTTTATTGTAATTTTTATTAGCTGCTATGTAATGTTTTCAGGGGTTGTCCAAGGAAAGGAAATTTTAACTGACTGAGCTTTTTATTTTTTGTGATTGTTGACTCATTGCTGTCAGCACTTATATGTATTGCCTACACAAAGAGGATGCAGCCATTTTAATAGTGAATCAATGTTCAAAAAATGTACCCGGTACCGTAAATTATGTCATGATGTAGCAATGACATCTTAATGAGCTCAAAGTGCGAATGTTAGTTCTAGCATTAAATGATCAATTTCTGCACTGTGCAAGTCCAACAGTTAGGTTGGATTTACATTACATATGAAATATTTGGAACACACACATGACCGGGAGACAAGGTAAAGATAAAGTGAAGGGAATTTATCAAAATTGGAGCAGACAAAATCTGGAGCAGCTGTGCACGGCAACCAATCAGAGCTTCTCTCTCATTTTTAAATCTTAACTGAACAAACTGAAGAGAGAAACTGATTGGTTGCCATGCACAGCTGCTCCAGATTCTGTCTGCTCCAGTTTTGATATATTCCCCCCAGTGTGATTGAAAGACCTCTTTGGACTGTTACCAGCTTTGACTCTTGAAAAGTGCACAACAGGGGCAGGTCTTAAGAGCTCTACAACAGTTGCATCTTTTCAACAGTACACAACAGGTGCAACTCAAGGTCTTGAGCAGTGTACACAATAATTGCAGGTCTTGAGCAATGTACACAATAGTTGCAGGTCTTGAGCAGTGTACACAATAGTTGCAGGTCTTGAGCAGTGTACACAACAGTTGTAGGTCTTGAGCAGTCTACACAATAGTTGCAGGTCTTGAGCAGTATACACAATAGTTGCAGGTCTTAAAGGAGAACTATGAGGTCAGGGCTTTTCCCCATAGTTCTCCTTAGGGTAACGGGAGGACACAAACTAGCGTCCTCCTGTCACCCTAAGCTCAGTATACAGCTCGCGATATACTGAAACACCGCAGCTGAAGCAGATCCCGACATTTATGTCGGGATCCGCCCAGCTGCGTGAGTGACAGCTGGCTCTGCCTGTCTAGAGGCAGAGCCAGCTGTACCCGCCCCCTCCCCCATCTGTTCCGCCAGTCAGCGCTGGAGGATCGGGGAGGGGGGAATCCAGTCCCTCCCCTGTCACCGCTCTGTGCCGTGACAAGATCGAGAAGTGAGCAAACGCCGGTATGTGTTCGCTCACCTCCCGATCTACTGAGCCGACCTGTGACATTCTCATTGTCACAGGTCGGCTAGAACTATGAGGATGAGTGAAAAGCACTCACCTCATATTTCTCCTTTAAACAGTGTGCACAACAGTTGCAGCTCTTCAAATGTACACAACATGTGCATCTCTTTCGCAGGGGAACTAAGAGTTGCAGGTCTTGAGCAGTGTACACATTAGTTGCAGGTCTTGAGCAGTGTACACATTAGTTGCAGGTCTTGAGCAGTGTACACAACAGTTACAGGTCTTGAGCAGTATACACCACAGTTGCAGGTCTTGAGCAGTGCACAATGGTTACAGCCCTTCAATAGTACACAACAGGTAGATCTCTTGAACAGTGTGCAACCTGCAACTCTTGAGCAGTGTATTTTTATATATATTGTGAGGGTATTAGCTCGATAGTAGCTCGGTACCGGGTGTGAGTGACTTTCTGGATGAGTACTACTCATAGAAAACAGGCACAACAACCACTGATTTTTGGTGAAAAGCACACGTGCAGTTTATTCACACATTTTACTAGCTCAAAACAAAAGAGACATGAAAATAAATCCTTGCCACTTGACAACTAACTACACAGTTTTCCTTACCTATCAGCTAGGAGCAACCTTGTGCTGCCCAAAGCACCTAGCTCCCTGAAAAACGTTTGCCATACAGGTTGTATCTCACACCTTGCCACACAGGCTGGAGCTTATGTTTTTGCCACAAAGGCTGGTTTTAACCACACAGGTGTTCAGCTCCCCAGTCTGCTGAGGCCCAAAGACTGGTTCCAGGGTGGAGCTACTCCATTAGGAGGCTGGGAGATCTTATGGAGGCCCTAATAAGCCAGCTTGCCTCAGCTGGGCTTGTTACCTCCAAGACGCCAGTCCTCTCAACACTTCCCCCTACAGGAAAACCTTCAGTATAATGCCTGAACCTGGGACACACATATCTGTCATCCTGACTAGACCCAGATGTTTTTGTTAGCCTTCCGTCACAATATATTGTATATATTGTATATATGCTTGCATGTATTGAGACTTGTAAAGGATCATATTCTATACATTCTTTTTTAGAGGCTACATGGAGAGTTACCTCTTAGTCAGGAAGAACTGGAGAAAGTTTTCGACACCCTGGATGCTGACGGAAATGGTTTTCTGACCTTAGAAGAATTCACTACCGGATTTAGTAAGTTTTGGTCTATTCATTTTTAAGGTATACTGACTTTTGATGTGTTTATAGCTGAGCAGCTCAAATATACATTATTTTAATGATCTATATGGCTGTCATTTAACTGCCTGGATCCTCACTGGGCAGACTCTTAATTTGTCCTAGTGACCACTGTCACCAGGAGTGAAAGTGAGGGAAAATCCAAACTTTGAGTCACCAAAACAGCAATAGAAGCGAAGTCCGCCAATGAAGACCTCCAATATTGTTGTGGTGACCACTGTCTAAGATAGGATTTCCCTCACTTTGGGGAGATTTTCCCCTTGTGTCTATGGGACAGGAAATAAAAGGAAATCTCCCCAATGAAACACAGACAACACCTGACAGGGGTTTTAACTCTTTCCTTCACTATCCAAAACTAAAAGCAAATGGTTTGGCTTTTTGATATACTTGAAGTGAATCTGTTGCTTTGCTTTGCATGGAAAAAACACAGGCTCACTTTAAAACTGATATTTTTTTCAAAGCTAAGTCCTACCTACACAATCAGAGTCAGAGTATCCCACAAAGAGTTAAATGATCAACACCAAAGGTAATTTTAGAAAAGGTGAAGTATATGTAATTAAATTAAACAATTTGAACCGTTTCAGGTCAATTTCTGCATGGAGAGGAAATTCCAGCTCATGAAACACCTCATGGAGAACTTGATGCACAACTGGAATTTGAAAATACGTATCAAACAAAATGGGAAGAAAGTAATCAGGAAACACAAGAGGAGGACGAGAATACTCAATTCTACAACCTAATTGACGGTTTAGGGGCAAACAAATTTTTGGAAGAGTAAGTACAAAATTAAATATGTAGTAAATACCAGTGACGTGCATTGCCTTCTGTGCTGGGTGAGGCATCCCCCAGCCCACCATAGCTCTGCCCTCGTCCCACTGAAGCTCTGTCCCTGTCCCACTGAAGCCCCGACCCCCAGCTTGGTAACAAAGCTGTGTGGGGAGGAGGAAGTGAGGAGACAGGGAGGAGCCCTGTCCCTCACTAGTTTGTCACTGGTGAGGCATCAAGATCGATATCCTCACTGTTTTTTTTTATTGGACAGTTTGGACCAATGGCGCTTTGCCATTGGCCCAAACCATCTAAGCAGCTCACACCTCTAACACAGAGTAGAGGCTGTGACAGTTCTTGCTTCACTAGGTTAGGTTACACAAGCAGTGGGGAAGCCCGCTGCTGTGTAACCTAACAACCTGTCAAAAGCCGGGTGCAGTGCTGCCTGTAATTAACAGGCAGAGCTCTGTCCATGACAGGTTACACAGCGGGGAGTGGGGAGTTTAACCTGTAACAAGCTGATCTGAATGGAGAAAAAGCTGTCAGCTTCAGACTTGAAGCTGACACCCTTTTCCTCCATAATACTAGGTGAGGCTATGCCTCACCTGCCTCCCCTGACCACACGTCCCTAGTAAATACAGAGCAAACAGCCAACCACAATGATTATTCATTTTAAAAACATGTATTATGTTTTTTAATACAACATTCATTTGCAAATACATTATATAGCCAAATAGTTACATAGTTAGTCAGGTTGAAAAAAGACGCAAGTCCATTGAGTTCAACCTATATGCTTGTGGAAACCTGATCATCACACCTATATAAGCTTTCTGGCCATAACAATTCAAAATCTTAGGCTTAAGTATCAGTTGCCCCACCACCACCACCACCACCTTTTGTGGCTGCAACTGCCTTCACTCTTCTGGGAAGGCTTTCCACAAGATTTTGGGATTTGTCTGTGGGAATTTGTGCCCATTCACCTAAAAGAGCATGTGTGAGGTCAGGTACTGATGTTGAAAGAGAAGACCTGACTCGCAATTGGCATTCCAGTGCATCCCAAAAGTGTTCAGTAGGGTTGAGGTCAGGGTTCCCAAGTTCTTCCTCACCAAACTCATCCAACCATGTCTTTATGGAGCTGGCTTTGTACGCAGGGGCACAGTCATGCTGGATCAGAAAAGGGCCTTCCCCAAGATGTAGGAGGGAGGATGCTAATTTGATTCATATGCTTTGGAGATGTCCCAAATTGTTGAGAAACTGGCAAGGTATAGTTTCTCTTATTAATCCAGTATTTGGAGTTACATTGCCCCTGGACCCTAAAGTATGTCTTTTATACTACTTGGAGGAAGATCAACATGTTCCAGGGTTATGGACTCCATTGTACGACTTTTGCTTACAGCACAAAAGGTGATTGCTTTTAAATGGCTGTCTCCCCGACCACCTTAAGTAGAGGAGTGGTGCACACAAGTTAATTTGGTTCTACTAAAAGAGAGACTGCTTTTTATACATAGAGGTTGATTTTAGAAATTTAAGAGGACGTGGGACCCCTGGTTGTCAGTACCGGGCCTAGCACCATTTATGTTAGTAATCCCAATTGCTCGGTAAAGGAAGGAAGGAGAAGGGGAGGCTTAGAAAAATTGTAAAGTGCAGGGAATGCTCCTCTTTTTATTTTATTTTAGGTGGATGGGGGTTATTATGAAATAAGTGTATACAATGATTTGTAAGATCTAAATTAGGCAAGTGAATGAATGTCTTGTTTTCTTGTATGTACTGTACTGTTTTGAAAAAACTAATAAAAGAGGAATATTACAGAAGAAAAGGGCTTTCCCCAAACGGTTGCCAGAATATTGGATGTGCACAATGGTCTAAAATGTCTTTGTATGCTCAGATTCACTCTAAGGTGTTAATGAGTTTTAAAAGTGCACTTCCTCTTTAAAACCATATTCTCCTAATTTATCTGGCTCTGCGCTGTTACACAGCAATGTGTACATGAAGGATACTAACCTAATAGTACCTTGGTCATTTTGGATGATGGACATTGTTGATCCAGGGAATATCTGATTGCCTTATGGGATCAGGAATTTTTTTTCCCCCTGTTGGAGCAAATCGAACTACGCTTTATAGTTGCTTTTTTGGCTTTCTCTAGATCAGCTGTGGATAACGTTGGGCATAGGGCTCTGTTTATGGTGGTTTTTCTATTTTTTTTCTCTATAGGTTGAACTAGATGGTTTTTTTTTTTATGTCTTTATGTCTTTTCTTCAACCTGACTAACTATATAACTATGTAACTTCCCAGCTTCCCTTCAAATGAAATGGGAAACCTCAGATGGTAACTGCTTTTGTCTGATACCTTGTTTAAGTAGCTCTATGACACCAGCTCACAAAGGATGAGTTGAGGTCAGGGGCTCATGAATAAACAACTCCTAGTTAGATGTGTAAATATAGATAATGGCTCTTCAGTACATTTACATAAAACATATTTTTTTTACTTCCTGACAAAACTCTTTATAGTTTCATGTTTATAGCCAACTACCAAGACGAGTCATTACATGCCACATAGTTTATTTCAGGATAAATGTGGTGGAGCCAAAGAGCAAACACCCAGATTCCTTCTTGTTTTTGTTTTTTATTTATTTATTTGAATAAATTAAATTGTTCTGTTTTAGTTACTTCTTGTAAAAGTTACTAACCTCAAATCTTAAAGGGAAAGCTTGTATTTAAAGTAGAAACGATGGCTCCTATAGTGTTCACATGACCAGGTATCAGCATATCGGTCATGTTATGGTCATGTTATCTCTTCTAAAGTGACTTAGTGGACTAACATTCAGAAGGCGCAACAAGGAACAAGGACGAGAAGCATGGTAATAGGAGGATAGGATGAGAAAGCAGAGTGACGGAGAGAAGAGCTCATCACTGTGCTGCCTCTCCTTTCACTGTCCAATCACAGGCTGGGGTGGGTCCAGGATGACCGGGGCTCAGAGGGAGTGGGTTGAATGATGCTGGCTTTCAGACTAAGGATATCTAGCAGCTAAAAGAAAGTACTTGGAGGGAGGGGGGGGGGGTGTCTCTGGAATAAAGAGAAATATTTAAACAAAAGCTGGTTATGCTACTTTATCTTTTAATAGACAAATTAGTTTTATTTTCTTATTTTTGGCTCTAGTTCTTTAAATAAAGTGTATCTCCAGACAAAACTTTTTCTTTTAGTTTCAGATCCAGTGGGGAAAGGTTACAACATCTTCCAGATTTTGCTGCTCTCTGTTCTCCCACTAGGGAGATTTCCCCTCACTTCCTGTCCCAGTGACAATATGTCTCAGAGATAGCAATAATTACCTGACAGAGGTTATAATTGTGACGGACCGCCTGGTACCCGACTGGGTACCTCCGTCAGAAATCAGTTTCCTCCCTGCTGGAACCTGAATTCCAGTGTCCTCAGCCCAAACCTGCCTAATTATTGGAATTATATACAAATATACAGATCCAATATATTAGGACAGAAAGCTGAAACTCCTCAATCATCAGATAAACACCAATATTGAAGTAGAAACCAAGAACTGACTTTATTGAAAACCAGCTCAGTATTTATACACTTCTGGAAGTCCAAAAACATAACACAATCAAACATGAACAGCATGGAAGCAGACCATCCCCTCCCCGATGCCTTAGGCTGGGTTCACACCTAGGCGTATTGAATATGCGCGTCTGTCACGCGACCGTCGCACGTTTTTTTCCCCGCGATTCCCGGTAAAAAAGTTGCGCGATTCCGAAGGCTACTTAGCTGTATCCCAATGTAAAACGCCCTACAAAACGGCCCAAAGAAGTAGATGTACTTGTTTGAGCGTAGGCCGTTTTGTAGGGCGTTTCAGACGAGCGGAAATACGGAAAGGTGTGAACCAGACCCATAGAAAACAATGGGATTTTCATGTTTGTACGTTTTGTTGAGCGTTCATAGAGCGTTGAACGCGCGACAAAACGTAAAGGTGTGAACGGGGCCTTAATGAATGAATAGGGAGAGAGGAGACACATGTGATGGGATTATGTCCTGAGTGTATAATATGGTAATCTACTCATCTAGACCCAGAGTCAGCTACTCCTAGAGTCAGCTATCTTAATCCCATCATCAACACAATAGAACAAGGGGACAAAGAAACTGTAACACATTCATTGGGAATCTCAGTGCAGAGTTAACCCTTTTTGTGTTGCTGGATTCACACCCTGTACCTTTTAATGGGCAATGGGAAAGATGCGGCATATAAACTCCACACATAAATCTGGGTTATTAGTTTCAAGGGGTACACAACATAACAATCCTCGGGGTTCCAGGAACAGTCCCTCAAGTCTTAGTTCCATGTAACCCCAAGAGGTCTGAGGGGGATCTCCATATTCCTAGGTCCATAGTCAGTAGGAAGGAGGCTAGCCCTCAGGCTCCTCCAGCAGCCCTAGTGATGGTTCATTCCTTCACAATTATCATCTTCACTCTATAAAAAAAAATATTTTACCTGGAGTTACACTTTAATCTCTGAAAGATATTCAGTATGAGAAGGGATGAGATTGCACAGCTCAACTTAAATTTGTGGATAATATTTATGGCCTGGCTTTCACAAGTCCTTAACCACTTCAAGACCAGGTGTTTAGACCCCCTTCCTGGCCAGGCCATTTTTCAGTATTCAGCGCTGCAGTACTTTGACTGACATTTATTCCGTCATGCAACGCTGTACTGAAATGAATTTTATACCATTTTTTGGGGACAGATAGAGCTTTATTTTGGAGGTATTTAATCACCACTGGGGGTTTTATTTTTTACTATAATTAGGAAAAATTAAAGAAAATTTTGAAAAATAAAAGTTTTTTTTACAGTATGTTAGGAAACATTTATTATTACCCAGTTTTTTGGTAAAATATAAAAGTCAGGGTCACGTCGGGTAAATAGACACCAAACATGTCAACCTTTAAAATTGCGCGCACCCTCGACATCGCAGAAAACTACCATACCCAAAATTGGCCATAGGCGACACTTTAAAAGCTTTTACCGCTCATCAGTTTAGTGTTATCAGTGATTGATGGC